ATTCTATGATTCTATGATAAGTGTGTGCTTCCTGTTCATGGCCATGGATTCTTATGCCTTTTTCCTTCAGGGGAATTCGGTGAAGTATGCAGTGGACGTCTCAAAGTACCAGGAAAAAGAGAGATCTGTGTTGCTATCAAGACGCTGAAAGCTGGTTACACCGATAAACAAAGGAGAGACTTCCTGAGTGAGGCCAGCATCATGGGGCAATTTGACCACCCCAATATCATCCACTTGGAAGGTGTAGTTACTAAATGTAAGTAGGTCATTTTCATGACAAGGCCAATTTGGAAGTCGCTGAGAAATTAAGTCTGTGGTGGTGTGTGCTGGGTTGGTTTTTTTTTCCTTTTACCCTCTTTCCTGTGAAATGACAGATGGAACAGATCCACTGATAGCTAATAGGAGGAAATCGGTGCAGGACAAGTCATTAATCTTGTTGTCAGCTATAAATGGGTTTATGGTTTCAACTGATACTCTATCTGTAGGCAGCTTGTACAAGATTTTGTAGAGGGAATTAATACTGCAGGGGTTAGCTTTTTCCCCCCCTTCTTGCTATGCCGAGCAGGCATCTTTCACATCTTTGCTAGACTGAGCTGATTGTTACAGGATAGGCAAAAGCAGATGGTGAGCAAAGAATTTAAAATGGTTGGGGGAGAAATACCAAAACAGAACTAGGGAGTCATATGTTGAAGGTACAAAGCACAGATGTAAAGAGCAAGCCTTTGAAATGAAGTAGGCTGTTTTAGCGTGAAACTTGCTTATTTGTTTTCTCTGATTTTCGGGTGGGATAATCTCACCCTGCAGAATCTACTAGCCCCATCTTTTTGTTTGTTTGGTTTGGGTTGTTTATTGAAGTCTGTTAGTGTTCACTGTGCCATGAACTCTGCCTTAGAAAGAGAACGCCAGCTCGCGCTGGATGCTTTGTAGGCCAGAACCGAACATAGAGCTGTGAGACAGACGTGCTTGGGTCTGGCTTGATAAGGTGCCGCTGCGATGGCGCAGTACTGTCCCTGCTCCGAGCGCCCTGGGTAGCGTGTTGGCAGAGCCGGGTTGTGGGTGCTGATCCTAAAAGGTGCTGTGGGTGTCGGGGGGTAGCACAGCAAGCAGGCAGCGATTGTGTGAGCTGCTCTTAAAGGGCAGAATTTGTGAAGCTCACCTGCTGCAGCTGACGGTGTTGGGCACGGGGTGTTAAGAATGTAAGGAATTAAGGTTAGTTATGGATGAAAAATTAAATAGTAACATATTACTGGAAAAACACAGTATCCCCCATGGAGGGTTGTCAAAACCATCAATGCCACCTTGTCCCCCTTGGATGTCAGTGGGAGCTGGATGTTTCCTCTACCACTTGTGTTTCTGGAGGTTTTACCCTTAATCATTTGTGTGTCCCTCTCCTAGCCCATCCTCTCTCCCAGTGGTTGAAAATGGCTCATAGAGTGTGTCCCTGTTTGCTTGTCTAGACAAATTCCACTAGGGAAAACAGGGGTTTTGACTAATTTTGCCCATCGTTTACTGAGGGCCTCCCTCAAAACTGAACTTAAAAGGTAATACTCGGTTTAAGTTTCGCAGGTCTGATTCTCTCTTTCTGTTGCTGATGTAACAAAGCTGGAAGGGGGTTGTGGTCAGGCCACAGTGTTTGCTACAGACTGATTTTTTCTGTAAAAGAATGGCACCAGGGGAATGTTTGTGTTGAAATCCCACGGCGGCTGGAACCCCCTGAGCTATTACAGCTCTAGCAGTTATAAATGACTGTGTGCATTTGCATAATGCAGTTGTCACTGAATTAAAATGATTTGAAATTGTCACCGAGGAGGTGGCAGCCTGACCTGAGAGCATTTCGTTGCTGGGCTCGCAGTAAGCGGTGCTTCGGCAGCGAGCTGGCTCCGTTACCTCAGCGCTGGTGTGGTTGGTAAACAGGGCTACTTAAGAAGGCATTTATCTCAATTTCTCCGTAGGTTTTCTGAACGCTGTGATAAATAAATGCATTTAATAAAGTGAAAATTAAAATGTGAGATAAATAGTGGTGTAGATGGGGTTGTGAGAGGCAGCAAAAACCCAGGAATATGTTATTGGCTGGTAGTCAAGTACTTTAATAATTGACTCACTGATGGTAACTTCTCCTCTCTCTATCCCCCTCCCCTGCTAAAGAAGTGCCTGAGTAATGAAATTACATGTTAATGCACTGAAAGAGTCTCCCTTTCTTCCTTCCTACGTTGACATAGTATCTTTTGATTGAGGAAGGTTAATTAAAACTCATTTAGCTGTATTTGTTCAGTGGAAGGGTTCCGGTCACAGTTGCAGAGGATAAATGAAACAGTGACATAGGCAGATTTGGTTGGAGTTTTTTCTCTTTCTACCAAAGAATGCTTGCAAAAGGGAATTGGAGGGAGCAGGATGCTTTATCACATCCCTTTCCTCAAAGGGTGCAGGGTACTCAGCCAAGGTCACCAAGCCCTTCATCCGCAGCTCTTTGCCTTCTGCAATCCCACCATTTCTCTGCGGCATTGGTGCAGGTCAGAAAGGGTTCAGCTGCCAGACTGGCACTCCATGGCCATGCCAGTTTGTGTGGGACCAAAACAGCTGGGAGTAAAGGAGAAGCAGGAATAGCCTGCAAAGGATAGGTTGGAACTGAAAAGGTGAAATAAGTAACAACGAGTGAAATAAATGATGTATTGCACATAGACTTTGGTCTAAGTGAAATGATGTGAAATTTTCGGTACAGTCAGTCCTTAGAGCATATTGTTTTCTAATGAAAAACAAAGTTACTTCACAACCAGCAATTACTGACAAATGAAGAGAAAGGCGTCTCGGTGAAAAACACACTGAGGTAGAAATGATTGGGGGAACTTTCAGTACTGCAATATTTCATGGTAGGGTAATTTTCATAGCTGGTTTCTCTGGGTCACTGTCTTTTCTTTAGGAAGAAACTCTATAGTTCCTCTATCTAAAGCATAACTGGGAGGAGGGTTGCCGTGCCAGCCTGGCACTGATCATCAGGCGCTCCCTTGACTTCAGGTGGGCTTAGCAGTGTTCACCCTGGGGCTGGGCTTTTGCCATTCAAGGTTTGATAAGTCACTGCTCTACGTCTCCTATTGCTCGCTTTTAGAAAGGAGATGATGTTGGACCTGTTTCTGCAAATACCTGGATGCCGAATATCCGATTTAACCCCGTGAAATAATTAGTGCTACTTGTATGTACCTACACGTTTTCAGTTTCAGCATTGTACGGCTTTGTAAAGCTCTTGAAGACAACATCAAGCTTTATTTATGTCTTTTTTAGGCAGGAGGGTGCCTAGAAAGCATCCCCGTGTCAGTAAGATTACACTGCGTTTCTCTGCAGATTGCCCAGCTTGGCTCTCTTGTGTTGCAGCACGGACTGCTGAGTGCTGCTGAAGCACTCTGCCCCACGTGTGACACAATTAATTGAATCATTTATCCTGTGGCTGACTTCATGAGGCAAATGGCTTTGGCTCATTTATAAATAACGAGAGACCCGGGAAACAAATTCAGGACAGAGAAAGTTGAGAGGAACAGCTTGTATTTTGCATTCTTGAATCCAGTTGTCTTGGAATACCTTGTAGCTGCTGACAGCTTCTGACTCGCCTAAAGCGTTGGTCTTTCGAAAGAGGCAAGGAGACCAAAGCGTTCACAAATTTATGTTGAAAGAGGAAGGCTTTCTAGTCTGCAAGCAATTTAATTACACTAAAGATTTTTGTCAAGTTTGAACAGATCTTTGCTTCCTAGCTCTCCATTATCAATTCATGTATTCCTTAGAGAACAGGAGCCACTTTAGTTAAAGACCTTGTCAATGAGTCAACCAAAGGGTTAACCTTCCAGATGGGGCCCTTTACATGTTTCTGTCCTATAATATTTCTCCTCTTGCTCCCCACAGCTGAGGCATAAGCTTGGTGCTTTTCAAATTAAATTAGATTGTGTAAGCCAGGTGTCTTGGCAGTAAAATCATGTGCAACCCATTTTTATCCCATTAACATCGGTGTTCATCAAGGAATTGTGTTTTTCTTTCCGCGAACTCTAGGTAAACCGGTAATGATCATAACTGAGTACATGGAGAATGGCTCCTTGGATGCCTTCCTCAGGGTAGGTGATTTCTTCATAATAAGCTGAGGAGATTTTATACTGGGAAACTTTTTCTGGTTTTTGTTCTGGTTCTTTGTTCGCAGAAAGACACTGAAAATTCAGCATTTCAAAAGAAATTATGTTTGTGCTTGGGAAATTCTGTTTCCTGGTGTCGCTCCTATCAAAAACCAGAGTAAATGTAAAGCGGGAGAATGCAGAATGAATGTAACGTTTAAAATAGCAGGGTCTTAAATAATCCATGTTTAATGGGAACAGTTCTGATTTGCTCCATGTTTGAAAGCATCGCAGTGCGATGGACTCATTAAAACCAGATTCATTTGCAAACTGGGTGCTGCATCACTGGAAGCTGTGACGGAACCTCTGGGTTTTTGCTTTACCGGTGGATTACAGACAGTAGTCAGGAGAGCGAGGAAGTACCACTGCATTTTCCTCGAGAGAAAATGGGAAAGCGGAGAGCCACTCTTTGCCAGTTTCAGCAATGGCAGTAACGTAGCTTTCAGCGTAATGCTCTGTGGTTTTCCTCCTTTCCCCATATGCAGAAGAATGATGGCAGATTTACAGTCATCCAGTTGGTGGGGATGCTTCGTGGCATTGGCTCCGGCATGAAGTATCTGTCTGACATGAGCTATGTGCATCGGGATCTGGCTGCTCGAAACATACTTGTCAACAGCAACTTGGTCTGCAAAGTGTCTGACTTCGGCATGTCCCGCGTCCTGGAAGACGACCCCGAAGCTGCTTACACCACACGGGTAAGGAGGGAAAAAACCATTGTCCCGTGGGTTTGCTTGCCTACGTGTTGGTTTGGTCTGACTGTGTGGGAGGTCACAGTGGTTTGTTTTAAAATAATCTCAGTCACAAGTGAGAACCTATATCACAACCTAAAAATAAACACTGACCCAGACTCCATAGCGGGAGTAAATTGACGTAGTGTTATTGCTGCATCAGTGGTTACAGCAGTATTTCTTCTCCGAGGATGTGACCCATGAGTTCCTCTGGTTCCCTCAGCGTGCTAGAGCATATTTCAGGACTCTGATGCCAGAAATTAGAGCCTGGGCTTCTCTTCCTTCTGAGGTCTGCAAACATGTATCATGATTTTCAAGTGGCTTGTCCCACTGAGGTTTGATACAGCAAGTGTTGGTATGCCACCAAAGAAGAAATAATCCACTTTTGCCTATCACAAAGATAGTAATAAATTTGGCCTAAATAATTTAGACTGGGAAAAGTGTGAGGCCTGCATTCCCATTTTATTTCAGCATCCCACTGTTAACTGATTTTGCAAAAGCCATTTTAATATGCTCCACGTGGAATAATACTAATGCAGGTTCTTCTGGCCACAGAACAAATCCCAACCATTACCAGCCTTTGTACGATACCGCTGTAATTAACAGGCGTGTGAAGAAAGAAAAGCCCAGAGTTTATAAATTCTCCTTTTTCAATTGCTTATTTTCTTCATTTTTCAATATCTGCCATTCTCCATCTGTTCTCCCTAGTGCAGTTTGTTTGCAGCACTCAGACTTTGCAGTTTAATCCCAACACTCATCCTTTAATGGATTCACAGTTCATTACAGGGAAGGATAGACACATGTAGTGTTAAATGCTGGCCAGCCTTAGTATTTTTCACTCGTAAGGGTGGCAAGTGGAAGAAGCAGAAGCAGAGGTCTGAAAAGCTGTATTCAGGGAAATCAAAGTTTAGACAAACACACAAGGGCAAGACCGAAATGATTGAAAAGCCTCCCTTTGAATTTAGTGAGTGGAGATATAGCATTATGTTTGCTCTCAAGAGCAAACTACAGGGAATCAATGACATTTGCATTACAGTGCATTGTCTTCAGTTAGTATCAGTAATGAAGGATCGGGGAAATTTGGATGAACTCCACTGTACTCTAGCAGCTAAATAAAAAGAGCTTATTGACAATTTTTAGAATGACAAACATGTATAAACAATGTCCTTGCATCTGTGTCTGAAAGGAGGAAGAGAGCTTTATCATAACCAGGGACAATGCAATAAAATGCAGTTTTTGAAAGCATCCTTTTTAAGAGAATGGTGCGTTCTGCTCCCCGTTAGTCGTATAACTCGTTAGAGTGAAAGCATCCTAAGGCATATGCTGCTACATACCCATATACTGCTGTATACCCAGGGCATATACTGCTACGGCCTGATTCACAGGGGGAATGATGCAAAGGCCAAAGAAGCCAGGAGAAGGACCCCTTCTGATTTCACTTGGCTGTGGAACCCGTCCATATTAAACACTTGCGAGAGGTATTAGAACAACACACCGCTACGTATGCACACGCTGCATTCGGTTATGGATAGAAACTATCTGGAAGATTGCTGAGAAAAAACCCTACCAAAATAAACTTAATCAAAAAGGCGTAAAAGCAAATGAAAAAACCCTAAAACCTTTGTTCAGCTTAAGTTGTTCCCCAGATGCAACTGCAGGAAACCAAAAGCTCAATTAAAAACACCTTGCGCATTAGCATAAACAAAAGGAGAAATTTCTGGCATGGGATCACTCAGCCAAGGCAAAATCAGATAAACAGGATGGAGTGAGTTCCTTTAAAGACAGTGCAGGACCTCAGTGGCCCAAATCAGGTGCCTCGATGTTTTTTTTTTGTTTAAAAAGGAGTATTGTAACAAGAGGCAGCTCTCTCTAACAGGGAGCAAAATCAGCCTTGTACCATGGTCTGGCGTTGAACTCCTCCCACAGGGACTGGGAGAGCCCAGAGGCTTGCTTCCCGTCTCACATCGCTGGTAGGGAGTTGGGATAGTGCCTGTGGGAAACACCACAGTGTTCATAAATCTTCCCAGTTTATCCCTCTTTACTTTACCTTTTTGAAAAGCAAAACGTTTATAATCCCATTTTTCTGAAACAAGCCAAACGGGTCAGACAGGCAAGCAAGGAAATAGCAATTAACAGCATGTACTTATTTGTTTTGTCAACTAAATCTCTAAAACACACTTTGTAAACCCCCTGGTTTGTCCTCGTGCTTCGACGTAGCCCTAAGCAGAGGTCTCTTAGAGGGCTGATGGAAATACATTTAACAATTTACTGGTTCGCCTCCTGGTGACTAAAGAAAACAGATGGGCAGCCTTGCCTCCTGGTCGGATCTGACAGTTTTATGGCAAGAAAAAGCGAAACCGGATGCCTTTTCCAGAAGGATTCTGGAATTGCGTACGGAAACCCGTTCTGTGTTTTGAACGGCAGCGCGGAGCGGCGTCAGCCACGCACGGCACAGGGTCGGTGACTCACTGGCCTGTGGATCCCTTGTTTGTGACAGGGTGGGAAGATCCCCATCAGGTGGACTGCGCCAGAGGCAATTGCCTACCGGAAGTTTACGTCGGCTAGTGATGTGTGGAGCTACGGCATCGTCATGTGGGAAGTGATGTCCTACGGAGAAAGACCATACTGGGATATGTCCAACCAAGATGTGAGTCTCCTCCTGAGCTTCCTCTCCCTCTTCTCTCCTTTCCCCCCATGCCTTTGCCTTTGTCCTTGGATGTCTGCCGGTGTGTTTCTCTGTCGGTTGCTCTGTACTTCTGTGACGTTCACATTTTTACAGGGATATCAAGGGTGGTAGATTCACGTTTTCTCAGGGAACTTCTGTGGAACTGAGACTTCCTTGAATACTTCAAGCCTGGTCTAAGGTCAGGGAATAGGGGATTCCCAAGTTAGGGTCTGTAACTTGTGCATATCTCTTTTTTACTTCTCTTTTTTTCGTTTTTTTTTTAATTTAAGGAAAAATATTGTAAGCCATTAAAGTAAGACAGAAGAAAGGGAAAGGAATATATTTAAACTGTAAAATCGTAATACTGTCAAGAGAGGGAAGATTTGAACGCTGATATTAAGTCTCAACTTTATTGGAAGTCTTTAAGAAAAAACGGTTGAATTTAATGGGGCTTCCTATTGGAAGTTAATTCTTCAAGCCCCAGTATGCTTGTAATTCTTCCAGATGATTTTATTTCTTGTAGGATATCTAAAACAACACGTGTGAAATCCGATTCTGATGATCGGTCCGAGCATCCTTGCGACAGTTGCATAGCTGCCCCCTGAGGACGTTAACTTTCCTAAATGACCATTCTTAAATTATGCATGTCCTGTTTAAACGTACCATCTGGACTACTTCAGTGGATTCCAAGAGGGAGCATGCACAATGGCTGCTATTCCAGAAGAGTATTTAATAATAATGCTAATAAAAGCTTTTGTTAATAGAGTTTTTATTAAATGAAAAAAAAAAAAAGCCAGTGAAAATGAGGCATAGATTATCCATAATTCTTCTCCCAGGGGATTTACAAACATAAAAAGGAAGAAGAAAATGTTAATCTGAATATATGGTCCTGGGAGTGGTTAAGTCATTTTCCCAGTCATCTGCTCTCTTATGTAGAGCTGAACATTTTCAAAGAGACTCTAGGTGCGGATGGCATTTTATCTGAACGGGGGATAGCATTTTAATTTCCTTCTGGTGTGAAATGTCTCTTCTGGCACCCAATCTTGCCTTCCTTTGCTAACAGGAAGTCATCAAGACGTAGCAAGAAAATAAAACCCCAGATGTGTTTTCCTTAATATCAGGCATGTCTACGCAGCGCGGCGGAGCTCAGCGCAAGGAGCACGGAGCCAGCTATCAGGCTGGTGTGCGCTGCTGATGTGCTGCAAAGCCGGCTTGAACGGGACAGCAGAACCAATATTACTGTCTTTCCATCCTCTTTTTAGTACACGGCACAGAAATACTGGGTTTTTCTGTGTAACAATGCTGAGAGCAGCGCTTTTCGCAACAAAGCAGAAGTGGATTTCAAGTTATTCTCAGGGTCTGTTGAATCAGGAGAAATCACAAGGATCTTCATACCTTCTGGCGTAGTGAGAGCCACTTTGTGATCACTGAATAGCTGCTCATAGTGCAAGCCAGTCCCTTGCCCTCTCCTCCCTGTGGATTTTCGCCACTAATTGGACAAGACCAGAGCGAGGGAATTTAGCACAATTCAGTCTGTGTGCACTCCTGGTCTCTAGTCTCATGGCGAATCCTGCCAGTAAAGTCATATCGATTAATTAAGATCTGAAGGCTTCTGGGTCATGTCCTTGTCATACCAGGATCGAGTTCTGGTCACGTCCCGTTCTCCTGAGAGAGCTAAGAAGTCATCGGAGTACTGAGCTCTGGATCCCTTTTTGGAGGGTTTGAAATTGCTTCAGCTCGTGAGTTTTTCTGGTTTCTGTTCAATCTGAAATACATATCTAAGCTGCTGCGTTGGACTTGTGTGACTCCTGTGATAAAGCGGCGCAGAAGGGTTCCCACCTCTGCTTTTCTTGGTTCAGAGCATAGTGGGGAGAGAACAGGTTCCCTTCAAGGCCTGTGTTACTGAGAGAGGTGAGCTAGCTCAGGAGGAGGGGGTGGTCTGCTGTATCCTAAACGTGATGGGGAAAATGTCATCGTCAACATACACCCAAAACTTACAGATATCAAAGATTTGCTGTAGAGCTGTTGCTTCCCCAGCCCTCTGCCCAGCAAGGATAGTTGCTTAATTCTCGCCTGGGCTATTTCATCATCCCAGTATGCCATGTGCTCTTTCGTGATAGGTTGTGCTGCTGTATCGGAAGTCTCCTTTGGATGCTGTACCCTTTTAGTTTTGAATTGCTGAGGAGAAATGACAGTTCTGAGACCACCAACTGCCTGAGCCTGAGTGCAATTTTCCATGTTGTTTCACTTAATTGTGGATTTGTTTCCATACTTTGGATCGCCCTAGGATAAATGATACTCAGCTGGTCGATGTGAGCCGTGTCTGATGTTCTCTAATGCCGTCCTAATTGTGCCATTTATAGGTTATTAAAGCCATTGAAGAAGGGTATCGGCTGCCACCCCCGATGGACTGCCCCATCGCTCTCCATCAGCTGATGTTAGACTGCTGGCAGAAGGAACGCAGCGACAGGCCTAAATTTGGACAGATCGTCAACATGCTGGACAAACTCATCCGCAACCCCAACAGCCTGAAGAGGACAGGCAGCGAGAGCTCCAGGTCAGCTGCGCTCGTGTAGTGGTGATGTACGAGGGAGCACAGCGCAGGTGACAGGCAGAGCTGCGCCTCACCCGGAGCTCCGAGCTGGGACTCGAGCGCTCTCGGTAGCTCTGCCTGGGGCCGGAGCACACGGCGGGCACTGCGCCGTGCAGGAGCGCGGAGGGGTCGTGCTGGGACGCTGCTGAGCCCCCGGGCACCCCCGGCTCTCCTAGAACGAGAGGTGAGAAGGCAAATGGAATGAGCAGGACTGTTGCTGTGTCACACCAGCTCTGAGCAGCTATAGCACAGTCTTAACCGTGTCCGGGCTCTGTCAGAAGACAAAAGTTTGCAGCATCTTTTCCCTCTCCCCACCACTGGAAGGGCCTGAACGGGTGGCCTTAGTGCAGTGTAGCTAACAGGAGTGATGTGGTTTTCTGCAGGAAAAGTACATCGGCAACTTTTGTAAACCCTAGATTTGTGTCGGATTTGCAAATGAGCGTTCCGGCGTTACAGCCAACGCCTTGCGGGCATCAGGAAGGGGTGGATTCATTTTTATGTGAATTTGAATTTAATTTTGTGGAAAGCCGGTTTCATGTCTCCACTGATCCCGCGCTCCATTTGTGTTTTGTTTGGTTTGCTGAGCGTGGTATACCTGGTACGTGCAGGAAGGAAACTCCCAGAGGTGTAGGGTAAAACCAAACCATCCTTGTTGGGACAGATCAGCAGTTTGTTTAAGCTGGTGAAATGCTGCTGAAGTAATAGGAGCTTTACTAATTTACACCAGGTTTGGTTTTTTTTTTTTTCAAATGTCTTTGCTCTGTCAGGTAAATTTGCTGATGGCAGATATGGCAAAAAGCTTAAAAGAAACAAGAGGAAGAGAATGGGAAAATATTTTTCGGTAGAAGGGAAGGTACAAAAATACACACAGGGCAATACAAAGTTAAGTTTCTTGAATAACTGAAGGAGTAGCAGAGGTTCTGATTCAGCCTCCACCACAGCAACACCCTGGAAAAAGCTATTTTCGTTTTTAAACTGGTGGGTCCCTTTGTGACGTTTGCTCACAGTGTGATTGGCAGAGGGACTGTTAACCCTGTGAGACCACTGTCACCACCTCTCTTCCCGATTGCCCTAATTGTGTTGCTAGCCCGGCAAGAATGTATCCGCCCTGAGGTTTAAGTAATCTGCGTGGTGAGACTCACGGTATGATCTGCTGCGATAAATTGGTTTGAGAATCGCAGCGTGAACTCCTCCGTTTTGCCGCCTTCCCGATTTCCAGGTGCTCTTTGGAAATACATAGAGTTTACAAAGCTGGATAGCCTGGTCAAGGTCATTTTGTGTGTGTGTGTAAGGTAGTAGCCCATTCAAGGTCATTTCATGTTCGTGGCTGTTTCTAGATCTTTATATTTCTTCTCTTCGGAATATGAATTTCAAATATGCATACGACATTGTCTGTATGTCTTTACGTCGTTGGGCTTGTGTTAGTACAGTAAAAGAGATGTTCCAGGTATTACCAGCACGTACTCGGTGCCCTAGGCAAGACGTAACCGTGGTGTTGCACGCCTAATCTTTGATGATGTGCGTTTTCAAATGAGCTGTTAAAGGGTAATTGTTTCGGTTAGATAGATAGGAGTAATTCAGAACGGTTTAATGAAGCTGTGATTTACAATAGACATGAAATAGTAAGTGAGATAGTAATGAGAGAAGCAGATTTTGTGAAAATAATTCTTTGCAAATCTGTGCAAGGGGAAATGAGAAGCACATTCCACAGTGCAAACAAAGATCAAAGCTTGGATGATTCCCGCCACTCCTGGCACACAACCGGTCAGGAATGGATTGATTAAAGGGGGGATTAACTCCCTGCTGTCCTCAGTTTGAATGCACTGAGCTTGCCTGCGAACCGGGCTGGAAACAGGGCTTATCTGCCCCCGCCCTGAGCTCTGCCCTCCAAACCAGTCTGGCAGGTTGGGAGCTCCCAGCTCCTGGCCGCACACTTCGGCTGAGGCCTGACACGTGGGGCATTGGCGAGGTCAGGAAGATACAGACCCAGTGGGCTGAACGGGTTCCAGCGTCGCTGCCGCCTTTCTGCGTAAAGTCAAAGCGTTTTCTAGGAACTCGGTTGCGTCTGAGGTGGAAGTTGTAAGCAGCGTCGCGGCCCAAATTAGATCTGAAAGTGAAAATAGAAGCCTGAGGTCAGGTTCACTCTTAAGGGAAGTTGGCCTGTTGCTTGGCGTTCTGTTACGTTCCTCGCGTCGCTCTGCCCCGCTGCGCTGAGAGGCGCCGCTTTCGCTGGGCGCGGCCTCTTGCCTTGCTCTCCCTCCTCGCCGAGGGTGGTCGTTGCCGGGACGAAACCGTGGGCGATTCGTGATGCAGCTGACACCGTGTCTCTGTCCTCTCCCTGTTTGGCATCCAGACCTAGCACAGCCCTGCTGGATCCCAGCTCCCCGGAGTTCTCGGCAGTTGTTTCTGTCGGCGACTGGCTCCAAGCCATTAAAATGGAGCGATACAAGGATAACTTCACAGCTGCTGGCTATACCGCCCTCGAGGCTGTGGTGCATATGAACCAGGAGTAAGTACTCGGCGATATAACAAAAAAACGGGTAAATCTGGATTTAATCGGCCTCTTTTGCTTTGTGCTGCATATCATTACGCTCATTAAAGGAATGGAATGCCTTTCATTTGGACGGAGGATAACTTTAAAATGCCTCCACAAAGCCTTCACTTATTTAATTAAACATTTCTGCACATCTGCCTTGCTTTTGCTGTGTTGCTTGCAGTTGACTCTTAACGTATTTCCTCCGCACCGGCGTCTGATCCGCGGTTCTCAGCACCCTGCCTCTTCTCTTGCTTTCCACAGTGACTTGGCAAGGATCGGGATCGCTGCCGTCGCGCACCAGAACAAGATCCTGAGCAGCGTGCAGGCAATGCGCACCCAAATGCAACAGATGCACGGCAGGATGGTTCCCGTCTGAGCCAGTGCGGGATAAACTCAAAACTCTTGAAATTAGTTTACCTCATCCATGCACTTTAATTGAAGAACTGCACTTTTTTTACTTCGTGTCCTCGCCCGTCGAAACAAAGATCTGCAGCATTGCTTGATGTACAGATTGCGGAAACCGAGCGTGTGTGCTGGGAGGGGGGGCCTCCAGAAATAATGACAAGCCGTCATTCGAAACCAGACCTGGAACAAATTGTTTCTTGGAACATACTTCTCTGTTGATCAACGATATGTAAAATACATGTATCTATATAAATATAAAGTCACATTCGAGTTTTGATGCTGTGTTTGCTGCCAGATACTGTGCATAAAAAACAAAACCAACATTACTTTCCTTCTCCCCGTGACCCGTAGGATTACAACCGTAGTGTTTTATTTGTGGGTGAAACCACCGTTGTGCATCTTTCACTGGAATGAAGAATCTGCCCTGGGATATTTTTTGCAGACTCAGTGCATCCCTAATAACCTTGCGGAAACCTCAGTGAGAATACCGTTTGGCTAATCAGCGCCTGTCGATTAGCGATCCGCCCGTTGAGGGGCTTGAGACACGCAATGACCCATCTCGTGGATTACTGGGCGAAACTGGACGGCGGGGAGGCTGTTGGCGGTTCTGTCGTGCCGAATCCTGCCGCCGAGAGACACTTTGCGAACGTCTCGCCGGTGGTCGGCGGTGACAGTCGTGGCTGCGGACCTTTCAGATTTCTCTTTCAAGAAGTGATTCCCGCTGCCGCGAGGAGAAGGTCAGTGGAAGTACGGTGTCCAGCACGTTCGTGGGGCTTTGTTTCTTAACTCTGCGGGGGTTTCATCACTGCTGGGGGCGGGGAGAGGGGAAGGGGCTGTAGTATGTCTTACTCCGGGTTCCCAACTGGTCTGTATGAACCCATGCTGGTTTCCCAGGCTAATTGCGTGGTGTCTCCCATTGTTTGCTCCATTTGATGACGCTGAAAATTGCTGCGTTTCAACACCCAGTCTTGCTCTCAAGCTGCTGCGTGTTAGGATGTGCAGGCAAGGTGTAGGGGTGTGTCTCGGGGCTCACTCATTCCAGTGCTAAGAGCCTGACCCCACTGAGAGCAGTAGGGATGCCCTTAGTTTTCGGGTGGAAAACCCCATACATATGGATCCCGTAGGAAGGAAGAATAACCGTGTGAAGTACAGTTTTTTTGCAGCGCCAAGGACTTGGCCTGCCCTCTCATGAGCAACGGTAGAACCAGTATGTGTTGGAAAGATCAGCCTCAGTTGCTGTGTCCGTGGCCTTAAGGGAGGGGGAGCAGGAAGAGATGGGGTTGTCCTGCAGCCTTGCTGGTTTTGGGCAGTCGGGGGGTGAGGCGTGGCGGCAGCTCTACGTCACGCAGCAGCGTTACACTGGAGACGCGGCGATCCGGTCTCCGGTCTCGCCAGCCGAGGGAACCAAACGTTGGGAACCAGCCCCGTAGGCTGGGTGACGGAGGGCGGCGGTGGGCGCGAGCGCCGGGCGTGGGTGCGTGGCTGTGGCCTGAGCGCCCCGCTGCCAGGATGGCAAACGAGGTGGAGCACGGCCTGCTTGAAACGCTGCCCCCCAGCCCCTCGGAAGGAAGAGCAGGAGAGCTGGGGGGCCGCAAGCACCGTCTAGGTTGCTGGGGGGACGGGACTGCTGTTGGAATGTGGGTTCCTCATTAGGTCACACCAGGTAAAGCTCTGAACACATTTAGGCTCCTGTTTTATTTATACTCAAGCTTTTGTCACTATTTTGAACAGACTGTGTCAATTAGGTTCATTTAAAGTCCTTTCGAGGGCCAGAGTCACGACATGACCTTAGGAAAGAGACAGGATCAGGCCCACTTGAGCCCAGCGGGGCTGGAGGAGGATTTTCATGGCACATCTCTAGAGCAGACGTCGTGTTTCGGCTCTGCCAGGCGCAGTGTCAGAAGGGCGAGGTCTGTGTTTTGATGGCGTGAAGACTTGGTCTTCGGTCTATAATATTTTGGTCCCGCTCTGCCCCTGACGGCAAATTCAGAAATGATTTTGTGGCTCGCTGTCGGATTTTTTTAATAATTGCATTTGTTCTCAGTCCAAAACAGCTCACTCAGTCGGACAAGTCACACTTACTGTGTCGTCACTCACATCGCTTGTCACGTTTAACAATAACTTGCTGATTTTAACCACTCACTCTCCCTCACCCCCAACCTTCTCAGAAAGCAACGTGTTCAGAACGTGAGACGCTAAACTTGGATCCTGTCAAGTCATGACAGCTTAGGAAAAGCTGTTCTGCACTATTGCTTGTAAAAGCTTTTCCATTTCAAGAAATTTAAGATTTCTTTTTAAAAACTACTTAAACCAGCATTTTTTAATGTCCTTTTGCCAGGCAACATAAGAAGTGGGTGCTCGTTTTAAAGACCTGACACTTGTACTTGCAGCAGCAAAGATTATTTCACTTCTTAAGTGCAGAGAGACTTTAGGTTTCCCCTTGCTGTAAACCTGTCTCCTTCTGCTGGGGTTGTCTTTTTACGTAAAACCAAAATACACCCCATTTCCTGGCCGGTTTGTAAAATTGCTTTCTTGGAGTCTAGCGACAGTAATTCAGAATATTTTCCACACGAAGTGGAATACTGCGTCCCTAAGGAATGGAACCTGCGAAGGCAGCTCGAGTGCCCGGCTTTCAGGAGTGCCCTGGGTGGTTGTGTTCCCGGGGGTGAAGCGTGGGCAGTGCAGGGGCACCCACGGGTGTGTGACTTTAGCCGGAGGAGAGTGGGTGAAGAACCCCAGGTGGCACATGTAAGTATGTAAAGGTGACATGTCTGTTGGTAAGATAAGTCACGGGAGCAGGACTGACACAGCGTGAGGGAGAAGGAAGGGCACAAGGAAGGCAAAGGGTTCTCGCCCTTGGAGAACCCGCTGGCCCAAGAGGGCCCAAGCAGCCGGCGAGCGCGTGGCGACGCGCTGCAGCCTCCCTCTGCACGGGAGCCGCGTTTCCCCTGCCTCCTCCTCCGGCCTCTGGGAAATCCTTCTCCTCCCTGGGGAGAGGTTGGATTCCATGAATCCGCGGCCGTGTCACCTCTTCACCGGGGCAGAGAGGGTTCAGGCCTCTTCCGTTGGTGTGTTGCCGCGCTGCGTGTTGGTTAACATCCGTGCTTCCTTGTTGTGCAGGGACATCAGGTCTTGCTGTCACGACCTCAGCCCGTCCTCTTGACAACGGAGGAACATGGGAGACATGAAGCCTTCTGGATCCACGGTTGCGTCTTCCCTAGCACCGATCTGGGAAACACACGCTGAACAGTCGTCGGTCCCTGAAGAGAGCGTGACTTTTACATTCCCCTTTCTTCTCCTTGCCACCCAGCCCAGTGTTCTTCTTCGCTGAGAGAGAACTGACTCGACAAGACTCAGCACCCAGTCGCCCCCCGAGGAACATACTGTGTCAAAGCCCTGGATTTTTTTTTTTTCCCTCCCCTTCTGCTTTCTCTTCCTACCTTTGGTTTTATTTATATATTTTGTTATTTTCTCTCCTCACCCCCCGGCGGTCGCTGCTGCATCTCGGACGAATGCAGGTGAGGGGTTGCTACCCACCTTCCCACGGACGCCAGGCCACGTGCCGCAGCCGAGAGCCCGGTGCCTGCGAGCTCGTTGCTGACGTGACTTTTTACACAAAACGTGCCATTGCAGTGATATAAATATACTTTTTTTGTTGTTTGGTTTTTTTTTTCCCCCCCCTGAAATGGATAATGGGATTACTCTCTCCTCGGAAAGGTGCGTACCTGTGTTTGTGTGCGTGTGCGTGGGAGTGCCCTCGTGTGTAGAACTGCCCGTGAATGTGCCGACAGCGTCTCTGGAAGCGCAGGAGTCCGCTGTCACAAGAGCAGGCCGACAGCTCACGCCTCCAACGGTAGCAAGGACACATTAAAAAACGTTGGAATTTCTGTATCTATAAGTTTTTTTTTTAGCTGCCACACTAACCTTAATGAGTAGCTCTGCAGCCTGGAGCGTGGGCGATTTCAAGGTAGTTCTGGAGTCGTGGATTACAGGATCCGTGAGGGTGCTAAAGATTTCCCAGAGTGCTGTTGTTCGTACTAACGCTCTCCTCGCGACCAAGACCCACCGGTTTCTCAGTGG